TATATATATATATATTAAATTTCATATATATCACTCAATTTTTATATATTAACATATCTAACCCCTGAACTTCAATTGATGCGTATAAGCCACCTTTTCATGTGCATAAAAATCTGTATTTTACTTTTAAAAAGTTAAAATAGTAATTTTTTATATAATATGAAATATTTAGGGGATATAAATGTAAAAAAACAAAACTTAGGTGTTAGATATGTAAATACAGAGAAATTGGGCATACAGAGAAATTGGGCGGCATGAATATGTAAATTCCCCAATACTTAAACATAATGAATGTAATTACTCCTAATTTTAAATATATGATAATTTTTTGGGACATTTAAATACATATGCCATTCAACTTTCTTATATTTGCATGTCCGATATCTAAACTTTCAAATTTACACGTGCAGCACTCAAATCTTTATTACGTAGATTTATGTCACGAAAGTGTTATAGATCTAAAGTTGAATGTTTAAATGTTAAATATGTAAAAGGAAAAAAAAACTTTTAGGGTATATATGTAAATTTTCTTATTTTCTTGTTCGGTAGCAATTATTTATAATATGTTTAAATAAAAATTTTTAGAGGAATGAGAAGCAAGGCCGGGTAGGGATGAGCACTTTTTTGACTCGCATAGATCAGGAAGTTAGGGAAGGGGAAAAAGGTTGTGTGGGTGGGTCCCACATGGTCCCACTACGCCAGCTTATACTTGGGTGCGTGTATGTGCCGGGCTCATCACAGTAGCCTTGGGGTGGAGTAGGCCCAATAGAGCTGGACGATCCGGCCCGCCCCCGAACAGCTTGTGCGTTTTTATTTTCGTAAATTTTATTTTATTTTTGTAATTTCCTCAAACTAAAATTCTTATATTAAAAAAAAGACTGAATAAGTAAAGCCACATTAAGAAATAGAGAAATATACGTACATACCACATATTTATACGTCAAACAATTTAATTTTGATATTTATAATTATGCTGTTTTGATGTGATAAATTTATAAAATGTTCATTTCATTGATAAAAAGTAAATATGATAATTTAGAAGTATATTTATATGGATGAATAGTTTTATCTTTTGTCCCCTCTAAAATATTTATTTTATCTTCTTAAAATATCACTAGCTTTTGGCAAAATTTATTGAGTGCGGACACGGACACCGCACCAAAATTTGCGTGCGGTATCCGATCTGCGCCGTCCGAAAATTTAAATTGGGCCCCACTCTAACTCAAAAAATAAATAAAAAGATGTATTTTAGTGGTCTATATTGGACACCGCACGAAAATTTGTGTGCGGTGTCCATACGCAACAAGTGCTCAGCTTTCGGAGCTCTTATTCTACGAGGATTTTGTTTTTTTTTTTTGAAAAAAGAAAGTTAAATTAGGGCCTATTGTCAAACACTTTTCGTAGAGGAAGTATTTTTATTGATTTACAGTACAAATCTCTGCGTGCAGTGAACGTACAGAATAATTTTCCGAACCGTGAGTAGGGGACAATTTGTCCTCTCTCATAAAAAAAATAAAAATAAAAAAAAAATAATAAAAAAAATTGGTCGCCACTTAATGCTAGGGATGTAAATATGTAAAAAAAGGTATGCTATATATGTAAATATATAAATAAATATGAGAAGTACTTTGAATCCGTTCATTCCCGTCATTTCAACTTTTGGTACGTATTAATAAAAATGAAGCAATGATATGATATTTTTTATAAAAAAAATTGTGGCATTTACATACATAACACCCAATTTTTACTTATTTGCATAAAATTTATAATATCATACTAAGAATATCATTATTTTAATATTTTAAAAATAGAAAAAAATATCATACTAAAATTCATCCAACTATAAACTAAAGAGTTATGAATCAATTTTAATATAAAGTGAATCAGTATAATAGAAATTCAAAATAATGCTATAACCACTAAAAAGAATATTATTTTTTTTCAATATATATATAATATATATATTATTATAAGCTTATACTTGATGCGTCGTCAAATAATGTTTATCATATGTAACGACTTTCGATGCATTTGCAGAGCAATAAACGTTCAAAATTCAAAATCAAGTTTATAGTCATGCTAACCGCCTCAACATGACGAACCCAATAATATAAAAATGAGTTAAATCCAAGTCCAAACATGTCTTG